AGGTGGAAACGCATGTTGAGAGAACTAATAATGCTTTCTCTTGTGGCTGTGAATGGGGAAGGCCAGAAGAGTTGGGCAGGAGAGAGCTTCTAAAAAGAGAACATGTTCTTAATCAGCATTTTGCTGGTATGCTGCCACTTGGCAGAAACAGCTATGGTGTACGGTAGGGTGAGCAAGGCTGTTGTACGGAAGGACCAAGTCACTGATTTTTAGAGCCAGAAGTGATGGTTGCTCAGTTTGTATAGCACTGCAGTATTTTAATACCAGTAAATTCTCCCTCATACTTACCACTAGTTTTAAAAGGAGTTAATTACATGGTGGGAACCAATGGATGACACTGAGATTTTTAGACAGCACTTTTTTTTTTTAAAGTTGTTTAATGAGTATTCCTCTGTGTCTCCGTAGCATAACCACTGATCCTTTTAAAGTCATTCTGTAGGAAAAGATTGTTGAGAGCACCAAAGCTGTTCAGCTAGTTTAAGAGTTACCCTTAGTAACTGGCTGGTCAGCCTCAGAGGTTTCTGTAAGAGTTAGCCGAGTGATACTCGCACGGTTTTGCAGCAGGAGGAGATACAAGGAGTGCAAGTGAGTTGAGTGAGAAATGCGTAAGCTTCAGAAAGAGCCTGGAAATCCTGATTCTCTTTCATGTGGCCTGACTTGTAAAACTACCTCTTTACTCTCTTCTGGAAAGCAGCAATAGTTAGAAAGGAAGAAGAGTTATTGGCTTTATTTTTGGGACATAATATGCCAACCCTTCCTCTTCTTCTGTCCCCCAATACCCCATTTAAGAACATGAGAGTTGTGAGTAGTCAGACCCTGAAGTTAGGACCGTAGGGGACCTGCAGTTACGATCGCTGGCACAGCCGTGCTCTTCACTGGGCCAGTTGTTCCGGAGGACCTGGTTGTTACACTTGCAAGGAAAGAAAATGTATTGATATGCGAAGTAGCTTAACCTCTTTTTTTTTGTTTATTTTTGTCTTTTTTTGAAGACACGGACCTTGCACAGGACAGTGCCACAAGAAAGGTTAAACTCCCTTCTTTCCAGTTCCCTCTTTCATGTGATAAACATGTGGCTGTAGGCAATTGTAGTATATTTAAACATCGGCTTTCATTTAACTTTAATTGTATATGGGAAAATGTTAGGGTCACATTGATATATGTCCACTGATTGTGATCTGACTGAATATGTCTTCATGTTACACTTCATGAATTGGTCAGGTTAGTTTTGTGAACCAAGGGTTGCCTTTTGTTACACTAGAGCATATATCAGGGTGAAAAGAAGTTTAAATGAGTAATCAAGTGCTTGTGTAAAGCTTTACTTTTTTACTTTTTACGTAATCCTACAAATGCATGCCAAAAATTTCAGACAATTGATTCTAATCCATTCTTTATGTATTTCTTCAGGCTTAGTGTAGGGTAATGCTCTTTTCTCCTTCGATTTCTAGATTAATATGTAATGTTAGGACATGTAATGACAAAATGTAACACTACCCGTCCCTATCACTTTTGTCTGGGGACCATGATCATTGCAGCCTGTTGGTTCTGTATTAATTGTTTGCTCTGTATCGAGGTGTGCAACTCTCTCTTGAAGTCACAGGAAAAATGAGTGTCGTAGAAGCTTTTTTCAGGGAGAGGGAAGTGTTTTTCTCAGGTGACTAGCTGAAAGGAAATACATTTTGCATTTTAGATACTGTTAAAGAACAGTATACTTTTAGTGCTAAGTATTTTTTTTTCCCAATTTTTTATAGGGAAAAAGTATTGTACGTATGATTTTCAGTTGTATTCCAAACAGTTTCAGCACTTAGGCAGTCTACTTTGTGTTTCTGCTTGCCTGTAATATATTTCTTACTAGACAAATGATAAAGACATCCAAGGAAAGCAACAGTTATCTAGGGGGTCAGTATAATTATGTTTTCTTTCTTTGGGTATTTTTTCCCTTCCCTGGTCTTTTATTTCTTGGCATTTCACAAAAAAAAAAAAAAAAAAGGAACAAGTGGTCTTTATAATCACTGAAAACCATGTGGCTGGATAGGTGAAGGAACTTAGTGTTTTCTGATCTTATTCTGCTAGATATTAAATAGTTACTTGACATGACAAGCTTTGTTCCATCTTGCACAAATGAAAATGGAGGAAGTTAAAGACTCTGCAGTATGAAAGCATATAAATATGTTTAGCACAAAACTAGTTATGAATGAAGTTACAGGTCTGGAACATACCTTTGCTTTCATTTTTTTTGTCAGTGATGGTAGCGTTCATACCACTCTTTTTAGGTACCTACTTGCATTCTCTGACTTGCATCTGAACTGGAGTTCTACTGTAGTCTAAGGATTTCTAAAATGTAGTGAAACGCGTATGGGCATGGAAAAGTAGTTTGCCTAGCCCTGTCAATTTGAAGGAGATGAGGAAGATAAGGAAGGTGGAATGAAGGAGAGACGCTGAAAAAGTGTTGATGTCATAGATTTGATCTCAATATATTGCACGACAAGTTGCCCCATGGCTGGGACATCCACCTGTCGTGGACGACACATGGCTTGCACTGAATACTTAATTGCCCCCCCATGGCCCTGTTGTAATGCTTGTGTGTGCTTCTTGAAGGAGTACCTGGTAAACCTGCTCTGAGAGACAGGCAGGCAGTAGGGAGCTGGCATTATCGAGGTGGCATAGAGAGAGAGACAATGATCCTGAATGCTGATCTGCACCTTGAGGGCATGCTCTAACTGCTAGGCTGCTTGGCAAGTCAAGAAGGAAACTACCACCAGGTTTTGATTCTATTGCCTCTTTATTTTTCCAGATGAGGCTGATGAATTTGGACTGAATTCATAAATTTCAGAGTGGCTGCAATCATGTTTTCAAGAAGCTTATTCTTAAAGAATATATATGTTACTTCAGTTACTTCTGAGTGATTTGCCTAAACAACTTATTGCCAAGTACTTTACCTCAGCAGTCATACTTCCTTCACCACCATGTATTGCAGATGCACAACAAACATATCTCTCTTATCCCAGGAGATCCATAATCTGTGGGAATTTGTAGTCACGAAAGCAAGAAGTGCACTTTTTTCTTTTGAATTTTTATTAGTATTTCCTTTTTTCAGATGCAAACCTTGCTTCAGAATAATCTGCCTAGAGCCCTATGCACTCAATAAAGGGCTGACTGATTTTTCTTTGCGTAGGTGATTGAGAATGTAATTACTGATAAATTTGGAGCTGAGCAATATATAATACTGGATTATGTTCTTTCTGTAAGATTAGGAAAGATATTTTTATTGAGGTAGGTAAAAATTTAAAATACTGTTGCTTTCTTTTAAAGGGGTGTATAACTGCAGGGGGAAACATTTTTCCTCACACAGATGGCAGAGCAGCTTATTCATGGTAGTATAGCACTGCGTATATACACATACACAACACAAATGCATGTGCACACAAATGTAGACAAATGTGTATATTTATGGTTGTTTATAACATGGTCTTATTTCTAATACTGTGCACCTGTTTTTCCCTACTCTGTCTCCTCCTTCTGTACATCCCAATAACAGGAAAAAAAATGCCTTCATAGCTCTATTTTTTACGTGATGTCCAAAATTAAACAGCAATTAAAAGCAGAATGATGAAATAATACAAAAAAATTAACTTGTCAGAGTCATAGATAATTTCCCCCATTTTTTCCCTTCCCAGTCCTATTCTTTTACTTTCTCTGAGCACCAATACCCAGACCATCTGGTTCTGGGAGCAGTGACAACCCTTCAGGCTTACAAATAGAAGCTGAAGCTGGTCAGACTGCTACCCTGGCCACCTCTAAGAGATCCATCATTCTCAGGTGTTAAAATTCCCTTGCATATGATCGGATTTATTTCTTTTCTCATTGTCAGTAGTTTCCATGTTGAAGGAAAAAAAATGGAGGGGTGAGAGGGCAGGCAATGAAAGTAAACCCAAATTGCAGATAATAAATATTGAAGGTGCACAAATTGGTGCGGTTGCAAACAGCGTTGTCATGTTGTATACTAATGCTTCATTGGTTTGTGTTTATATAGAGGCTATGTTTTTTTTGTAGGATACTTTGTATCAATTCCTGTTCTGCTTCATGTTAATAAATAAATGGGTAGTTAGGGAACTGTGTGATTAAGCACTTGGAGTCTGTATGGCCAGGATTAGGAACAGAATTTATTTTTGTGCTTGTAAAAAACAAACAAATACCAAAGACAAATATCTTTTAAATACTTGTCATGTTTTAAAATGGGTATAAAACCACTGAGATTTGATTGACTGGAAAATGTCTATATCAGACTGTTTACAAATAAAATCTTCCTTACTCTGAAAATTGTTGCATGCCTCAAAAAAAAGATAACAGCAAGATTAGCGATGAATTGATGGCCCTCTTTAAAAGTAGGTTTGTCTGAACTTATAACATTGTAAATAATTACTTTTGTATCTAATGTGTTACACATGACATTTAGGAAACACTTCACTACTACAAGACAATTTGAGAACAAATTAGATCAGAAGGAAGAAAGAACTGCAGGAAAGACTTTAATCAGCATTCATTATTTATTCCTGTATTCTGAGAAAATTATATATGCCAAATACAGGCCTTTAATCAAATAATGATTAAAATATTCAGATCTCACCCATGTAGTTAGATGCATTGACCCAAATTTCAGGCGTCCAAGGGGAAAACGCTGTAGTTTATACAGCTGATAGAAGTGCTCTGTTCCCACCCCCTGCTGTAATTAATTTGGCCAGCGATCCCTTGTTTGTTTTTTGTCACTTTTTTTGTTTTGAAAAGTTCCCCCGTCTGCTGTTCATACCATGTTTTAAGATAAACAAGACAATCCTTTTTATTTGTCTGTCTTTTTCTTCTTTGTAGCTAACTGCCAGGCCACCTGAACAAATCAACTGCTTCACAAGGTCCCCAAATAAACACGTCTTTTGGTACGGGTAACTGAGGTTAACTGGACAGAGGCAAATGAAACTCATTCCTCTTCATTTTGTCTTCTTTTGTAGTTAATCTGCTGGATTCAAAAACAATTCAAGGGGAGCTGGGCTGGATCTCCTACCCATCACATGGGGTGAGTTCACTAGACTGTGAAATGGAAAAGTGCTGCTACAGACCAATGTGCTATTTAACCATTGTTTCCTCTTCAGAGGACACCGTGCAATAGCACTGGATCTTTGGAGCTTCAAAAATAGCCTGCTCTAAACTTGCAATATGTGGCTTACGTAGATATGGCGCCTTCCCTTTAGAACATACAATGCACTGCATGTAACCCCCAGGAAGAGCTCACTCTTACTGGAGAAAATTATAGCAAGAGGTGCATTGAGAAGAAAAAAAAATTGTCTTTAGGTACTGTTCCTTCTATCACGATGTGTATGTCTAAAATATATCATGGACTGTTTCATAGTATTACTTGCTAATTTATTCAGATGGCAGTCGTGGAAAGTGAAAAATGTATGGACATAAGCGGGTGATGTAAGTACTTATTTGGTAACTTTTGTGCTGAATTGGTCAAGTATTGTTACTTATGAGTTAAAATGTTATTAAAGAAATGTCTAAATAATGTTCTTGACGGATGTTTTTCTTTTTCTATTTACCTTGTATCCAGATCAAATGAAACTAGGCATTCTATTTGGAGAAGTAAAAGAGCAGTCTTAGAGCATTTGTGCTTCTGAACTTGCTAACTCCATCATTTTTACACAGCACTTGCCACCAGTCGCTTTTTAAAATTTTTGGTGACTTAATATAAGTGCATAGTATCCAGTGGTGCTGATATCTGGTCACTCCCCAACTTCTTGTCTCTGTGGAATGTATATGTGTGTTTGTGTGTAGGAACAACCCCTTACGCTCCTTCTACATTGCATAGCACAGATATGCCAGGAGACTCTTGCATTCCTGCATTCTGTCCCCTGAACAAAAAATCCTCCACTTGGCAGGCCTATGCCCTGGTGTCTGGAGCTTCCCTCGCCCTCAGAGAAGGCTATGCCATCAAGCCTTTTCTGGAAGAAGGCACTCAGAGACCTGTGGCTCCTTCTTTTGCTGTCCCGTCACTTGTGCCTGCCCTCATGGTGCTGTTTCCTTCCTCTGTGGCAGTCTGAGTTTGGTTTCCTACCTTTAGGATGACAACTCCTAGAAGTTTCCATGAGTCTCTTCCTGCTTGTGTCTTCTACCCTATGGGTAAACCTCTGCCAGAGAGTACTGCCACTTCTGAGTCCTTGGGAAATGTTGTCTCTAGTCTTGATAAAGGGTGAGGAGTTGCAGCTAAGAGTGCAGCGACTGTCCTTTTTCCAAACCAACTGCATTTTGAATTCTCGGTGTTGGCAGGTATTTGCTCATTGGTTTGTTTGTAGGACCATCAACATCAGCTTTCTGATTCCTCTGCAGCTTTGGGCAAGTTATTACTTCACCTTTATCACTTTTACAGAGATTAGTGGTAACAGTACTTTCGGGTCTCTGCCTTATGGGATTCAGTTGTTAATATTTAAGTAGTGCCTTCTTGATATTAAGCGTTATTCAGGTGTTTAGCACTATTTAAGGATTAAGGCTTGGTTTATTTTTTGAGTTTATCCATGAATCTCTCTCTGTGTCTCTGAAGAAATTGTTCCATTCTCATGGGGAAGAAGTGGGAAGAGGGTTCATGTTTCGTTCTAGTGGCTGTTCCTGCTACCAATGAAACCTCTATAAACAGGATGTCCAAGAGGGAACTCTCCAGCAATTTCTCTCTCATCAGTTTTTTTGTCTCCACTTGCATTTTTTTCTTTTTACTTTTTTTTTTTTTGGTTTCTCTCCCAGCTGCCCTGCCCTCCTCTGCTTTACTCTTCTGCTCTGTTCCTCTCCTTGCAGCTGTGCAGATCTACTGCTCTGCTCCCTGCAGCTGTGCTTCTCTTGCCTTGGATGCCTAAAGCAGTTGGTAGGGAATGATACAGGGTATCTTGGGGGCTATAAGAAAAACAGATGTGCTACATTACCCCGCCAAAAAGGGGCCCTAGATCTCTCAAAGCAATTTTATTAGCTTCTGCAAGTTTTTGTCAGGTAAATCCAGCACAACTTGTTTGTGTGTCTGTGCATGCTGTTCCTATTTACTGTAATATCCACAGATATTGAAGCCAAAGTAAATCATGGAATTGTACTGGTGTTCTTACAAGTTAATGAAATTCTTAGTTAAAAATCACATGGTAGTAAATTAATGTAGATCATGTACTGTGAGTGTTTTTGTAAGAGAACCGAGACTCTCAACTGTAGCCTTCAAAATACTGTGAAATTTTAAGCTTACATATTGAAACACGAATGTGAAGTATAGAAATAGTAACATCCCTCCTATCTGAATTGGCATTTTTCTGTAAAATGATGACAACTTGAACATCATGTGAAAGAGACACCTTCTTTTTACAGCCCTTTATTTATAGTCAATTAATTAAACCTGGTAAATGTGGCTGCATCTGTCCCTGAGCTAACTAAAATATGAACTTAAACTTTAGTGGAAAAACATTATAATAAAGATGTCACATCATATTGAAAGATTGCTAATAGCATAGTGGTGATTTACAAGGTAAAGCTAATAGAGCTACACTTCAGGCTGTGACTCAAAAATGAGAATATTGGTGTTGTGCCAGTTCTTCTCCAGCATGCAGCAGTGTTCTGATTGAAGCCATAAATGTCAGTATACTGAAGCTGGTGACTTACAGAATTTTTAAGAGTAATTTAGCCAAAGTGTTTAATAAACCTCTTACTAGGTTGATAATTTTATCTTATCAATACACAATATTGATTGATTTCTGGGAAAACAACCCAAACTGATTGGTTGTCATTTTCAGCATTCAGTGGTTCTTTTTTATTCTTTTAAGTCTGCCTCGACTTGGGCATGTATAATAACAGCTTTCCAGAAATTCCTGAATATTCATCTAAGACTTATAGCTCATTTGTATTCAGAGATTTCTGTGTCCGACGTAAGAACACTCTAATGGCAGTGCTTTAGACCATGGTTAATAATATCACCCTGTAAGAAGGTGATCTCTCCTTGAACCATCCCACACAGCCACAATCTTGGCATCAGTAACGCTGATCTGGTCAAGCTCATTAAAATCCCTTAAGTACAAAACATCAGCCCCTCTATATAGCAAGGCAATGGAATTAAAAAAATATAATAGCGGGCTTTGCTGATGCTTGAGCATGATTGGCAGCAGCCACAAGGCCTGTATCCTGTACTACCATCTCCAGCACCTGCCTAGGCAACCTTTTTGTAATGCCAATCAGTCAAATACCAGTTCCATTTCTATAGGTTTCATTAAAGGGGAAAGAAAGAAGAGCTACTTAGTCTGTGCAGAGTATATTATTGATATGCTGATTAAGCATAACGCAAGTGATCATTAACTGCAATTCACATAAATTACAGCAGCACAGATGTGGGGGTTGGGAGGATAAAAAAGCAAGTCACTTTAATAATATACAATAGAAATGTGATGGATAATTCATACAGGACAAAAAGAGTACAGTCTAAATCCCGCTCTGCATATTCATGCGAGTAGTTGTATTGGTTTCAGCATCATTTTTTTAGTAAGAAAGATGTTTCTAATTTGACTCTAGCTCCGTGTTCTTTGGGAAGTTTGAAAAGATAGATATATTTGTGACATAATGGCAGTACGTTGTTCTGCAGTCACCCAACCTGTGACTTGATATTTATGTGTTTATTACTGGGCTTGAAATTTTTGGGCACTTTTTTATGTAGTCAGTAGAAAAGTAAAAGAGAAATCATGCCTATCTTATTTTGCTTGTAGCTAGAGAAAAGAATGCTCTGGCATTTATTATTGTCATGTAATAGAAAATTGTAAAAAAACCAACCAACCAACCAAAAAACAAAACAAAACCAAACAAACAAAAAAACAAAAACAAAACCAAACCAAACAAAAAAAACCCAAACCAAACAAAAAACCCAACCTGTTCTGTATGTGACCAAAGTTAGTAAATTGCGGGCAAAATTTTAAAAGACTGGTTGGGAAATAAAGATATGGTCTTTGGTCATGACAGAAGCTTTCTAGGTCCCTGAGTTTTTTCAGAACCATCTGACTGACTGCTGGCTGTGCTCAGTACCTTAAACTTCTGGGCAAGTACTTCAGCTACTGACTGTACGCTGAAGTGCTTTGAAAATCTGGTGTGAATAACTTTTTGCTTTTTCTTAGTGGTCACCCTCATGATCGTTTGGACAAAGCAAGCCGATCATCTCGGTAATAGAAACTGGTTTGTAAGTATTAGAGGAGAGAAGGGTAACATTCCCTGTTTCTGTAACAGTTTGTGCTAGGAAGGCTACCGCACGCGTGACTGAGATTAATGAGAGTTTTTCCATCAGCCGAAATCGGGTTAGAATCCAAAAATCCAACTGAAAATGAGGAAAATGCCTTCTCTCTTATATTTCAAAAGCCTGAAAGTGGTTTGTCACATTAGACTGTATTACTGCCTACCCATGACAGCAGCAGTCTCCCTGGCTGCATTTGTTCTGGTTTCAATAGTTGGCTAATGTGTGGCACTGTAAAAACTTTTTTTGTGGGATATCCTGCACACAGTGACTGAAGAAGACTCTGACTAAATAAGCATTTGGCTATCACTTGTGACTAGGTGAAGGTAGAGGAGAACTTGTGCAGAGTTACATTTTGCCTGTGATTAAGGTGCACTCAAATAAGCTGCGTTCAAGAATCAGTTATTAAGGCCACTTGGAACGGAAAGTTTCTCTGTTTATTTGGAAGACGTTTTCAAGATTAATAAGTATTTCCATGAGTGGTGGAAATAACGACGTTTGTTTTCCTGCAGCTTTGTGTCTTGCGGTTAATTGCGTCCCGTGATTGAAGGGTTTTTTGCAGTAGGTCCTTAATGCCAGTGGCTTTCCTGGTGTCACGCTTCAGCCTTCCCCTCAGCAGGGCACACAGAAAGTTTCTCATCTGTACGTGCATCTCTTATTTTCACACCACTGCAGAATCTTAGGACAGCTGAGCCATCAAAAAAACTTGAAACTGGCCAACAAATAAAAAAATTTATGAAAAAACAAAATTTTAGTTTTCTTTTCATACCGATGGACATCTTAAT